CTGTAGCCAATTTTTTTCTTATGGACATTGCAGCAGCACAGAACTTTGCCACTGCATATGTGGGTTAGTGTCCTGGAGGAGAAAGCCTAGATAAAAATTATCTGCCCTCCCTGGCAATCTCTCTAAAAGGGGGAGAATATATGCAGACCTACAAGCTCTGTATAGCTTGCAGTGTAATAGTACATGTGAATTATCTTCCACTTCTCCTTTACCACATATACAAACGCGTTCGGCTATAGGTGTTCTCTTATACCTGCCCTGGAGGAGTGCTGAAGGAAGAATGTTAAATCTGGCTCTGAAGAAAGCTATTCTTTGTTTTGGAGAGATCAGGTCATTTATATATCTTGCCAATTCCCACACACCCTGTTTGATTCTGTCCCTGCTATGGAAAGGCAACCTATTTAGTTCTTCTTGGAACTCCAGGTCCCTCATTCTATTGATTACTACTTGCTTTGCTTGCTCAAAGCCTAGGGACATGTGATACTGGTATTTGAAATCTGGATGATGTGGACAGATTTTGTTTTCATTTATTTATTTATTTTTAAATCTAAATATGCTATTCTAAGCATATGTTCTTTTATTTAATTTCACTAAGCAAAGGAAACCTTACTTTGAAGTAAGTATATCAAGATTATACATACTCTATTAATTTTTCTAGTAATTTGTACCAGTAATATCTAAAGAGGAAAGAATCTATTCTTTTATTAAGGAATTTTACAAATGTGTGTTTTAGCAAAAAAAAAATGCACACAAATGAATCACTCTATGTAGATATATGACAATATTTTGATCAATATAATATTTAAATTGAAGAGGTTTTACTTGGAATTTAGTCAAAGTAGGAGCTGAAGTTTGGCAAAAAAAAGGCTTTCATGGAAATTACAAGCCTATTATAACAATATCTTTAGTTAAAAAGCAATTTTTAAAAATTATTCCTCTACATTAAGTCTTAGCTTTCCATCCTTTCTTTTCTCTTTCTATACAAAATAGAAATGCTGTTTTTCAGAATCACCACAGCAGCTCCCAAACCATCCCATCAAACTGCCTTTTAGTTGCACAACAGATTCCCCTCCCCTTTTGACTTAAAAGCAAGGTGATTTTTAACTGAAGCTCTTTCCAATTATTGATATCTAAAATTTGCATTAAATGATCATTACACAAAGAAAAAGCTTTTACTGAGTTAGTCATTTAATGGGCAATAAAGTTATGACAATAATTGGGACCATTATAATCAGCATAAACAGAATCAAAGCAATGTCAAGTAAGTAAAGCATTTCCATCTGCCAATGAATCTTGATTTTTAAGGGGCATATATATTCAAATCAAATTACACTAAGAACTTTTTAATATAATATAAATAATCTTCAAAGCAAGAATTTACTGGAAGGGGTTTAAGTTCACCTCTCCTTTATTATAACATAAACTGGCATGCAATAAGAGTGGGACTGAAACAAGGCTACTTTTTAAGTGGTGTCAGCTGAATGTCCACTACTGATGTATTTATGATACTGAGAGCTGCATGTAAATGTATATTCAAGGACCTAGTTTGGCACAATAGTCATTAAGTGAAATATAAGCAATTTAGCTTTCAAAGTAGGTGTGACTGAGCCAAAGGTAAGAGTAAAAAAAAGAGGCATTTAGACAACTGTGGAAAAAAAAAACCCAGCCCAATGTTGAGAGGCCCATTGTCAAATGTTGAGTATCACTAGTTTACAGCATTGCAGAAATGAAAGCAAGAACAAAGGGCATTACTGTGAAAAAGAATTCAGATACTGAACTTTTAAAATGTTTAATTTAGAAATGTCATTATGATACAAATCTAATCTTACTTCCAATTTCTATTAAAGTTTTCCAATAGTTTTATGTATACTAAAGGTTCCATTATTTGGGCTTTAAAGGGTATTTCTTCTTTCATTGCTCATAGCTCATGAGATTTGGCTATGTGTTATATGACTTTATGGCTAAGTAATGAGAACATGGCACTCAGCTTTGATTCTGATTGTTGAATTGATCCAATTCAACAGTTTATATCTTTTTTTTTAATAAAAACTACTGATTTTATTAAATGTATCAATTTAAAAAAATTAAATCTGGTAGGTCTGATTCAATTTTCTGCAATGGCTTTTTAAAGAGGTATCTCTTGAATCAAAGCCATCAAAAGTTCTAAGGTTCAAAAGTGATTTGACTAAAGGATTGATTGAATTGCCTTTGAATCTAATCTATGAGATGGATCTTAATTGATTAGCTTGATTGATCAACTCTAGTAACAAAGCCCTGCCATTGCTTGTTTTGTTTTTGTTTTTCCAGGAAAAAGAAAAGGAGTCATCTTCCTTGCCTGGGCATTCTGTATTATGCTGTATGCTTGCAATTTCATTGTGTATTATAAATGGAGAGTATAGTTTGAGTGTTAATCCAACTGTGGTTACTAGGATCCTATTTTCCCATATGCTAATGAAGAACAGTTTAACTGTGGGCAGACGGCCACAGATGATATATACAAGTGCTCCTTTTCCTCTACCCAACAAGAATGAAGGATATGCTTGCTTTTGAGTAATCAAAAAGAATGATTCCATGAGATATGGTTATTTCATTCTAGCTACAAGCAAAACTGCTTTTAGCAGACCCAAGACAGCTTGTATTGCTTATTGTTGTGTGAAGTCATGCCAGTGGCATGCCTAGCTTCCTTTTTCTTTGGCAAGTTTTATATTTCCTTCAATCAACTAAATGAATATATGATAGGCAGAGATATCACTTCAATCTACTTTATTTACTTCAGCCAATAGAACCAGGTTAGTAAAATGACTAATTTATTATGAACTAAAATGTTATTATAGAATGATTGTCAAAGTTATTTAGAATTCTTGGCTGAGTCTGAACTATGTTTATTCATTAATATTAGACATTCCAAAAATACTTCTGGCACAAGACTGAATCACTCTAATAATAGATGCTAAGTATGAATTTATTGCCCAGTAATCATCGCATCATCATTCATTTAAAATAACAAGCACTGTTAGGGTTCTGAATGATTTGAGGCAGAAGTCCAGGTAAAACATTATGTAAGCATATAAAATATAAACAGGTATAATTATTATAAGATTTGTTTGTTATACCTGTACTTTTTAAAATGTACAATATATTTGAAGAATCAGTTTCAAAGTTCCTTTAAATGAAAACAAAACAAACGAGGAAATATTCCTTGTTATTGTTCAGCCAAACATTTATAAATCCATTTATCCTACCTTCATTGTGCAAAAATATCTGTAGTACAGCCATTAATTACTGAAAATGGTGGAGGAGGCAGGACCAATGCTCCCACTGCTATGCTTTTTTGGAACAGGTACAATGTACCTATGGAATGCGATGGCTCAGTGGCTAAGAAGCTGAGCTTGTCAATCAGAAAGATTGGCAGTTCGGTGAGCCAAGGTGGCGCAGTGGTTAAATGCATAGCATGTAGGTATGTAAATCAGAGGTGGGTTCCTACCAGTGGTTAAATGCAGCACTGCAGGCTACTGCTAGNATATCTTGCCGATTCCCACACACCCTGTTTGATTCTGTCCCTCCTGTGGAAAGGCAACCTATCGCTTGGTTGGATAATAAAACAGCTGCAAGAAACCAGACCACCAAGGGGCCCTCATTTCAACCCTGAGCTACAAATAGTCTCCAGTATTGATAACATCTGTGTTGTTGGAAGCTTCCTCTGTGAGAAAGACCACTTGAAAAGGCAGATTTACATGACTGCCTCACAGAGGGATCCTACTGTGATAGAGAAATGTCCCAGTCTTAGAGACCATGAGGACTCCAAACCCAACTGATGAACAGAAATAAGCAGAAAGAAATGCCTCCATTTCTTGGTTAATTTATTGTCTTTTACTATATTAAAATAATCATTGCATCCAGATGAACAGCAAATGGCACGGGAAGCTTCTTATTAATGTACCACTAAGAATAACAAGATGCATCCTACTTTTTCATCATTAAAAATATACACTGCGTAAGAGTAAAATACATTAAAACAAATGTGCACCACTTGTAGCAATTGACAAGCAACTAATTAAACCCAAAATAATAATTCTATTAAAAGTTGCTTAGAAGATGTAAGGTTCCAGCAGTTTTCCCCAAGCCACTGAAATGCCAAAGAGAGTGAGACTCAAGACGAGGCTTGCAAAGAGTATCAGCTTTTATTTATGGCCATAGCAAAAGCTGGGTGACAAAACTATATCCAAAACATGTAAGCAAATGCATGTAAGGAATAGCCATACCCTGGAAGAGTGGCTCAAAGTATTATATACATATTAGGCAGATAGAAACAAAGTTTACCCAGGTAAAGATTCGTTAACTACGTGATCTTTAAAGTGTTCTTTTGTTCAAGCTCCAGTCTCTGTCTACCTTATCTGTGGAGTATTCCTATAGCCTTGTATAAAGGGGGGCAGCCCCCCTTTGCCAAGTTGTTTTTTGGGCAGAATGCTTTAAGAATTTATGAGCCAGGAAAACTCCCTAGTTTGGTTCTTTTATCTATGGGGCCTCATATTCCCGTGTAACAATTTCTTCTACTAGCTTTCAAAAATGTGCCTAGCTTTGAAGCCAAGAATAGAAGTGAGATGCAGCAATGAGAAAACATTTGCAGTCCAATATTAAGGTTACAATTTGCTAGGCTACAAAAGAAACTAATTTCTGACAGTATAGAATAATATAAGTAGAAGCAAATATAGATTCATATTGATTCATATACTCCTTCAAAGACATATACAAGATATGGGAAATTGGAACAATGATATCCAACCAAACCAGAAAAGTAAAACCACCTCAAATTAAGAAAAAGATGCATGTACATATATAATTAAGACGAATATGTCCTTTGAGTCTATAGCTCTTCCTATTGTAAATGGAATGGCCATTTTAATTTTTCAGCCTCGCTTCCTTATATGTCAAATGCATATAATTTAGATAAATTGTGGGGGAGGAGGAAGAAAGCAGGAATACTCATTTTTTTAAATGCTAAAATATTCTGGAAATAACTTACATTTCTTAAGGTTTAACACAGGCAGAATCACAAGAGTGCGTTCGGACAGAAACAACCAGGCGTATCTTGTGGAAAAAAAAGAAGAAAGTGAGAATAAGCTGTACAAGCAACAGAATGGCTGCTCGTCATGAAGGTAAAAACATAGGGTCGCACAGTTACAATTTCAGTCCAAGAGCTTCCAATGATAAATTAAAAGAATCTTAATACCACTAGGATTTACTCAAACATTCCCGTGCCTCCATTAATTTCCTGTTATCCTTCAGGAGGAGATATCTAAAACTAGCAATAGCAATAGCATTTATATATACACTTCATAGTGCTTTACAGCCAGGGGTAGGCAAGCCCTAGTTGGCCTCCTGCACCAAGATGGTTGTGGGGTTGCCCTTCCTGAGTTCCGGAGGCTTTTCTTGAGGGTGAAAACGGCCTCCCCAGGCTTCCCCAGGCTTCAGAGGCTCCCTAGAGGCCAGAAACGAGCCCATTTACAGCCTTCTGGAACTTCCAAGAGTCCCATTTTTCTCTTCTCTGGGCTCTGGAGGTTTGCCTTGAGCCTCCTGGAGGGCGAAAATAGCCTCCTCCGGGCTTCATGGGCTCCCTTGAGGCCTGTTTTTTGCCCTCCCTGGGCTGCAGATGTTTTCCTCAAGCCCCCAGGGGGGCAAAAACAGTCTCTCTCAGGCTCCGGAGGCTTCCTGGAGGCCAGAAAAGGGCCCATTTGTAATGTAAAATGAAAAAGCTCTATTCCAGGATCTGCAAACATTATGTAAATTTTAATGAATTCCTGTGGGAGTCTATAACATGAGATTTCCTAAAGATAGAAACTCAGCTTCTAGTGCTCATACCCTGCTTCTCTTTTCAGAAATTCGACCAGATGCATTCAAAATGCTTGAGGGCTAGAAACTTCTTGTGAAAAGGGAGGGAAGGATGTTTATTTGGGGGCCATCTGTTAAACTCTGCAAAGGAGGGTATCGAATACATACAGCATTTTATTAATAGTTCTTAGTGACGCCAAAGCTGTTGTTTCAAGGTGTTGGTGTGGCTGTCGAAGAAGCTTGATGGCATAATACATCCTGCCTTTTTTGGTGCCTTTATGGGATAAATCCACTCAAAAAATGCACAAAGGACATAGTTAGGTGAAGACGATTTACTTTAATTCTTCTTGGTTTCCAAGAGTGACTTTGACAAAATATATTTTTTATTTTTAAAAAAACACACATATACACAATAACAAAGGCATACTCTACATTTATACATCACACCGGAACTTCACATTCCTTCTTTTAGCAATTATCAATGGGTGTATTTTACATACACTATTTTACCTCTCAATACATTTCTACTCAATTTCACATTTTTAACCCTCTTATTTCCTTCTCTTTCACTTACCAATCTGTATTTGGCTATTTACATCAAACAAACTTTCTTCTTCTTCTTCTTCTTCTTCTTCTTCTTCTTCTTCTTCTTCTTCTTCTTCTTCTTCTTCTTCTTCTTCTTCTTCTTCTTCTTCTTC